AAAGAGAGAGAAAGATCGATCAGGACAGAAAATTCCCCACCCAACGTAAAGTAGGTAGGTTCCGAGTGGGGATGTCTAGCTGATCGAGCCCTAGTTGACACAGCCTGTGGGATGGGGCAGTGGGCCCAGCCACATGTGCTAGAGCCATGAGGTGAGAACGAGCAGTGAGCGGGGCAGGCCGTGACGAGAGAGTTACAGGCCTTGTAGAATGGACCTCCAGGTCCACTCAGGGACGCTCCTACCTCTCGGGACCGCACTTTGACTTTGACTTAATAAACTCTCCTTTGCTTTCACTATTGGCGTGTTTTGCTCAATTCTTTGTCTGAAACACCAAGAGCCTGGGTATCATCACGAGTCATCCTGTAACAGGACGGAGAACAATTGTTTATAAATGATACTGCACTATCACACGTACTATGCATTTTTATCTTATTGTCTGCCTTGCCCACTGGAATGGAAACTTCATAGGGCAGGGATTCTTTGGTTTTTTTTTTTTTTTTTTTTTGGTCTCTTTTTGTAATTACTGAACTCTCAGAGGTTAGAACCGGGCCTAGCATATAGAAGCTACTCAATATATATATATATATATTTTTCAACTTTGCTATAGAGGATGTATGCTCACCAGAAAGAGAGAGAAAGAAAGTGAGAAAGCAAGTCACCAGGTCTGGGACTCGAACTGCAGGCAGCCATGTGGGAGTCCAGTGCCTTAACCACCATGCCACCTGCTGGCCCCCTAAATATTTGTTTATTAAAGAATGTGTGATGGTGGGCCCAGCAGGTGGCACGTGGTTAAAGCACTGGGGTCCCACATGGCTGACCTTGGTTCAAATCCTGAACTCAGCAGCTTGCTCGTTCACTGGCTCTCTTACTCTTTCACTCTCTCTCTTTCTCTGGTGAATGTACATACCCTATAACAAATTTAAACATAATAAATAAAATTCTTTTTTAAAAAAAATGCATGACGGCATTGTTTGTCAGAGCAGGGAGTAGCAGAACCTGACGTCAATCTGAACAAAGAAGGCTGGAGCAAAGAACTGGAAAAGAATTCATTTGGAGGACCAGCCAGGTGGCATGGTAGTTAAGCACTGGATACTCTCACAGGACTGACCACTGTTTGACTTCTAGACCACGCCTTGCTTTCTCACTTCCTCTCTCTCTCTGTGTCTCTGTCTGTCAAATTAAAAATGAGTGAATAAATTAAAAATAAATTAATTCTAAAAAAAAGGTTCATTTGGGGACCAGCAGTTAATGGCTATGTCGCTGGACTCCCATGTAGTCGACCGCGGTTCGAGTCCCAGACCCTGTGGCTTAAACTCACGCCGGGCGCGTGTGCGTGCATGCCCAAGATCCCGAGAGGAGAATGGAGGAGAAGGGATTGCGGTGTGGCCATCCCCCCGGGGGGTGATTTCTCGCCTTCTGTCTCTATGTCTCTCTCTGTCTTTCTGGCAAGCACACACGCCCTATAGCACAAAAAAAGCAAAACCTCTCCAAAAATAAAAAAAGTTCATTTGGGCCTGGAATAGGACAACTGCTGGATACCACAAAGTCAAAGAAGTCTGAAATAATATGTTACAGATTTTGGGGTGAGGTGCCCAGGTGTTACATTTTGGGGGTCAGTTATCCTTGGCCCGCAGGATCAGTAATAGGGGTGGTGTCAGCCCAGGGTCGGACAGGCACTGTCTGGCATACGTCCATGCACAAGTCGTCCTTGTGCCAGGTTGGAGCGGTCTGTGCACCATGCTGGAGTTGGGGTAGAGTTCTGTAACAGCTCTTATCAGGCCTGCTAGCTGGAGAGAGACGGAGACAGAGAGGTGTTTCAGGATCTGGGGCATGCATGCACAGCACCCACTGTTATTTCTTTCTTTTTAAAAAAAATTTTTTTTGAGAGGTTTTTCACTATAGGGCGTGTGCGCTCGCCAGACAGACAGAGAGAGACAGAGAGATAGAAAGCGAGAAATCACCTCCCAGGGGGGATGGTCACGCCGCAATCCCTTCTCCATTCTCCTCTCGAGATCTTGGGCACGCACGCACACGCGCCTGGCATGGGTTTTAAGCCACCCGGTCGGGAATGCGAACCCCGGTCGACTAAGTGGGAGTCCAACGACATAACCATTACGCTAACTGCTGGTTCCCCCCACCATTATTTTCAAGTCACTTGGTCCAGGATTTGACTAGGATCCATCCACTCCAACCTCCACGCCACCTGCTGGCCCCTGATATCCTATGACAAATTAGAGGGGGAAAATCCTTTATTTCCACCTAATTTAAAAGCAGGGATCTTAGGATTCCCTGTGGGGAGAGACAGAGGGGCAGAAGGGAGAAAGAACTCACAATTTTCTTGACTCACAACTGGATGGTGACAACTTAAATCCTGAAGAGAAATACAGTGAAGATAGGTTGGGTGCAGGTGATGGACAGAGTAACTTGCCATCCTGGCCTCCCACACACACCGTGTTTGGTATATAACAACAAAAAAAATATTTTTGGGAACCAGCAGTTAGCGTAATGGCTATGTCGCTGGACTCCCACGTAGTCGACCGCGGTTCGCGTCCTGGACCCGGTGGCTTAAAACTCACGCCGGGTGCGTGTGCGTGCGTGCCCTAGATCCCGAGAGGAGAATGGAGGAGAAGGGATTGCGGCGTGACCATCCCCCCTGGGGGGTGATTTCTCGCTTTCTGTCTCTATGTCTCTCTCTGTCTGTCTGGCGAGCGCACGCGCCCTATAGCAAAAATCTCTCCAAAATAAAAAAAAAACTTTTTTTAATTAACCCCACCTTTTTTTTTTTTTTTTTTTGCTTTACATTATTTCTCTTTCTTATACTTTAAAGGTTAACTGGTGCTGGTAGCTTCTGTAACATACAGAATCTGTAACTATAGTAACAAGGTGGTAAATAAGCCTATCTGCTTAGAAAACAAAATTAAACCCCTTGCTTAGGACAGTTACAAAAATGCAACCAGACTGTGGTGGCAGGTGAGAAATCTTAAGAGCCAGTAATGTTTTCCCAAGGGACACAATGTAACAGGCTAAACAACAAAAATCCTAATACTGTTATGGTTTAACACAGTATCTACTAGCAGATGCTAAACAGTATAGCTTGAGGAAAATACCTCAGCGTCCTTCCATCACTGTAAGTCACTAGTCTGAATTAGCCGATTCAACATGTCCAGAACAAAAACGGGAGAGGGGCCAGCAGGTAGGGCGCTGGATTTCCACACGACCCACCAGTGTGCGAGCGTGCCCAATTCCCAGGAGGTGAGTGGAGGAGAAGGGATTGCAGTGTGGCCGCCCTCCCTGGGGGTAATTTCTCACTTTACCACTCTCTGTCTCTCACCAGTGAGCGCACATGTCCTATAGCAAAAACCCAAAACCAGAAAACAGGGTCGTAAATATTGTGACAGGAAAAAGGTGTGCAGAACAATTTTGGGAAAGTCCTGAGCGTAGGAGTAATACCGAACTAGCTGAATTTATGTTGTAGCTAGCAATGGCTCAAATGAGAAGTGTAAGGGTCTTAATGCGCTGGAAATTTCGGTTCCGGGAGCTGGTTGTGAGCCTGTTAGCTCTCGGCCACTCCCAGAACTCGAACCCAGCTAAGTAAACTCCGTTTCTCCCTCTCTCTTCGCCTGTCACTCATTCACAGGCACGGCCACGGAATTTTAGGTGGCACCGGGTTCATTCCTCCAGCCCACGGATGAACGGCACCTGCAGCCTGCACGCAGCGAGCTGATCCCCCGGGGCGACAGCTGGATCTGGGTCCAGCTCCGGTAACTGAGACAGACCCGCGGCAGGCCCAGCCCAGGAAGCAGAATCTGAAAGAGGAATGGGCCGCTCGGGACTGGGCGCTGCCCTAGAACTCCGGACCTTAGGGGCCCGGGATGGAGCCCATCACTCCAACTGCGTGGGGCTCCCAACGGGCAAGAGGACCCTCCTGCTGTCAGAGAGGCAGGCCCCTGAAACCTAAGGGGTAGAACCTGGGCCCAGGTGCCTGCGGATCGCGTAGCCTCGCCGCCCCGGGACCAGGTTATGCAGAGCTGCCATCGCTAGGGGAGCCCTCGTCCGCCGCCAGCCCCACGCCCGCTGCCAAGGACGCTCTGCGGGTTGGGGTCTGCGTTGTATCCTTCCAACCTGCCTGACAGGGAAGCCCAGGATCCCACGTGATCTTGGCGCGTTCTACTATGGGATTCGTACCGAACCAGGGAAAAAGAAAAGAAAATCACGTGATCTTGGCGCGTTCTACTATGGGATTAGTACCGAACCAGGGAAAAAGAAAGGAAAATAAGAAAAAAATAGATGTTTCCGCCCGGTTTCGAACCGGGGACCTTTCGCGTGTGAGGCGAACGTGATAACCACTACACTACGGAAACCCTTTGGCTGTCTATTCCTGCAAACAACCCTTGAAAGTTTGTTGTTATCACTGAGCGCTTCCTGCAGGGAAAAGGGACACCGGCGAGCCAACCACAGTGCCAGCTTCACCCACGTGCTTGGATGCAGCCAGCAAGCCTGGCCCGCCAGGAGCTGCGCTCTGGGAGTCTTGAGGTCCCCGCGGTGAACTGTGGTGCCTCCGCGGGGAAACTCCTGCACAATTAGGGGGCCAGGCAGGCCCCCGAGGCCCAGCGGCAGGGCTCCAGCGCGGGTCGTGGAGTTCGGCGGATTCCGTCCTCCCCTAAGGAGCGCTGGCCGGGAAGCGTGCCCCTCGCCCCACCGCCCTCTCCTCGTAGCCCTGAGAATGGGGGACACAGAGCAGTTTGCACAGGTGGGAGGAGACCTGAGCGACTGTGGCCACGAGGGAAACCAGCTCGAAACAAGCAAGAGACATCTGCGTCTGCTCGGCACTGAGCTTAGAAAGCATTTTCACTATGTGGCTTTTAAGTCGTTTTTATAACAGTGATATGAAAAATGTACCGGATCTTGTATTGAAAAATAATTAAATAAAGTAGGTCATTGTAGTGAGGATAGGCTGGCGGGTGGATGGCAGGGGGCGTGCGGGGAGCGCAGGCGCCGCAGTGACCATGAGAGGGAGTGACGGCCGGGCCTGGCTGGACGAGCAGAGCACCGCCCGGCGTCAGAGGGCGGGCGAATTCCGAACGCAGAAGCGGAATCTACCGAGGAGCCTGTCTACAGTCCAGAGGCCAAAGCATGGGGCCTTGCCCGGGTGCGCTCCAGCAGGAGGTCTGGGCAGAACGGCCCCGAGAGACAGACGGCTGCCCCTGCTGGCCCACTCCTGGGACAGGAGTCCTCCGTCCTGAGGACCCGGTCTCATCTGACTTGGCAGCTCCCTCAGTCTTTCCTTGAGCTTTTTTTTCACAGCCCTTTTCATTTTTTTCAGTTTATTTATTGATTCCATGAATGAGACAGAGAGAGAGGGAGATGCAGCACCCCGACAGGATCTTGAAGCACATTCCACACGCACCCGCAGGCAGCCCCAGACCACGGGCACACACTACCCAGTGCACTCAGGGAGGTCTTCCAGACGTGTCCCTGGCATCTCCCCATGGGGTCAGCCTCATGGAGTGTCGCTTTTTATCTCTGCGCCGCTCTCCAGCCCTTCCCATCATGCTTTGCAGGTCTCTCTGCACAGAGACATACAGACCCGTGTCTAACGCCAACAGGAGTCCCATCGCCAGGCAGAAAGGGATTCGGTGCCAACACGCGTTGATGGGTGGGACGGCCGGACCTAGGACGAGAGGCAGGGGGTGGGAAATGCTGGTAGTTAAGGCAGGAATCTGGGATATGAGATCCCCAGTGGGGAGCCTTTGTGAAGCCCCCCAAGTCAAGGGCTGAGCGAGGCCAGAGCAGGCTGGTGGTGAGAAGCCTTCCGAGGATCTCGTCCTCTCTGTTCTCAGATCACCCTTAGGTCAGTGTTTCTGCAGGGGGCCTTGGGCACATGTGTTCTGAAGTTACAGAGGAAAAAGTTTTCGTGGTCACCTAAGTTTCACAAACACCATACAAAGCATAGCTTCAATTTTTTCTTTATGGGGCCAGCCAGTAGCAGGGTAGGTAAAGTGGCTGGATCCCACACGGCTGACTGTGCAGTTCGAGCCCCCGATCCAGCAGCTTGAAAAACACACTCAGTGCATGTGCGTACATGCCCAAAATCGCAAGAAGAGAATGGAAGAGAAAGAATTACAGTGTGGCCATCACCCCTGGGGGTGGTCGTCTCCCTGGGAGATATTTCTCACTTTCCCTTGCCCTCACTGTCTCTGGCAAGTGTGCAAACCCTATTAACAAAACAAACAAAACAATGATAATAATAATAATAATAAACCTCTAACTGAATGACATCCATTTCTACAATCGCTGTGGAATGAGCTGGCAGGGCCCTCTGCACCCATCCTTCCAGGCCCTCTGCACCCATCCTTCCAGGCCCTCTGCACCCATCCTTCCAGGCCCTCTGCACCCATCCTTCCAGGCCCTCTGCACCCATCCTTCCAGGCCCTCTGCACCCATCCTTCCAGGCCCTCTGCACCCGTCCTTCCAGGCCCTCTGCACCCATCCTTCTAGGCCCTCTGCACCCATCCTTCCAGGCCTCCAGCTCCTTCAGTTCTCACCTTGCACCGTGATGGTCACAGGCCGGGACAAGTACGCCGTCTGCCCTATGAATCCTCTGCAGTGGTAATCACCACTGTGACTGCGGTTTGCTTGTGGGATGGAGAAGTTGGAATTGGCATGGGAAAACCACTTGGCCTGTCCATTACGGAAGAATGTGACCTTGAGCAGACGCAGGTTCTTCCAGCTGTGGCACCTCAGCACGATGGCTTCCCCCTCCTGGAACACCAGTCGAGGGGTCTGGAGCAGCAGCCAGCCTGAAAGGCACAAGCATGGGAAGAGAATGTTCTAGGACTAGATACCAAGGATTTGCAGCCTCATGCTCCAGGCTACATCCTCACAGAACTTGAATGGAGGCAGGGCAGAGGGAATCAAAGACGCTTGATGGCAGGTGAGCACACGTCACACGCAGCCTACGAGTCTTCACAAAGTTCATGGGAAGTGGAAAAACATGGCATGGATTTCAAAATGTACTGCACCAAAATAAATTCAGCATTTAGCTCGATTTTTCTTTTATTTTTCTTTCCATTTTTGAGAGACTTTTGCTATAGGATGCATGCACTCACCAGCGAGGCAGAGAGAGACAGAAGTCATCCCCCGGGGATGGCCATGCCACAATTCCTTCTTCATTTTCCTCTTTGGATTTTGGGCATTCACACACCCATCCCCAGCATGAGTTTTAAGCCACTGGAACTTCTTCATTTTCCTCTTTGGATTTTGGGCATTCACACACCCATCCCCAGCATGAGTTTTAAGCCACTGGAACTGAGACTCCAACTGCAGGCTACTACATGGGAGTCCAGCGACATAACCATTGAGCCATCTGCTGTTCTTCGAAATCCATTTTTCTACAAACGTTTTGAACTCCCCTCACAGAGTGTTTTGGCTATGGAATCTCTGAAAGATGGAAATTAACAGAAGTTCCAGGGAGTAGCAGATGGCATAATGATTACGTCACTGAACTCCCATGTTGTCATTTGAGTCTCGGAGCCAGCAGCTTGAGACTCATGCCAGGCACATGTGCATGCGTGCCCAAAATCCCAAGGAGAAAGGATTGCAGTGTGGACATCCCTCTTGGGGGGTGTTTTCTCGTGTTCTCTCTCTCTGTCTCTCTGGGAGCATACATTCTGTGTACCAAAAAAGAAAAAACCTCTCAAAAAAGGAAAAAGAAACCATCTTGCATGATATATTAGCTGAAACTTTCCAAATTTAGAGAGACTATAAAGAAATTTAGAAATCCAAATTTAGGAACTATAAAGAACACCAAATAGATTTAACATAAAAAGATCCTCTCCAATGGTTAAAACAAACAAACAAACAAAGAGGAAGATGATATTCTACAAATGACAAGAGAAATGTGACATTACTTACAAAGGTTACCCCATTAGACTAACATCGGCCCTTCCTCCTGAAACAATGCAGGCAAGGGAAAAAATGATAAGCCATGCCAGCAAGCTACATGGTGGTTATGGCAGTGGATTCCTGCATGATCAACCTCAGTTCAAATCTCAGAGCTGCCATCTTGAAAATAACACTAGTCATGTGTGCGTTCGTGCCCCAAATCCAAAGAGGATTTTAGAGAAGAAGGATTTCCCACATGGCCATCCCTCCTGGGGAATGATTTTGCACTTTCCCTCTCTGTCTCTCTGTGGAGAGTGCACATGCCATGCCCTATAGCAAAAACCAAAACAACAACAAAACTCTCACAGAAAAACAATTTTGACCAAGAACACTATAACCAGTAGGTAAGATTATCCCTGAAATGGGAAGGAGAAATAAAATAATTCCCAGATAAACAAAAGCTGAAAAACTTCACCTAAAGTGGGCCAGCTCTTCAATAAGTACTTAAGGGAATACTACATCTGGAAAACTAAAGGGAAATAGATTGAAGCCAGAAAACACAAAACAGGGGACCAGCAGATGGTGTAATACTTACATTGCTGGATTTCCACATGGTTGACCAGGGTTTGAGTTCCAGACCTACGAGCTTTAATCTTATGTGGGGTGTGTATGTGTGCGTGCCCAAGATCCTGAGAGGAGAATGGAGAGAAATAATCCACAGAAAGAGCCCTCGAAAATACACAAAAACATGACAGCTAAACAACCTACTCCTGAACGACATCCAAAGTACTGAGGAAATTAAGACTGAGATGAAAAGATTTATTCAAACAAATAATAATGAACACACCACTCTCCATGACCTTTGAGACATAGTAGAAGCAACCATAAGAGGGAAATTCATAGCCATAAGTGCTCAGAGAAAAATAAAAATAGAAAAATGGAAAATAGGTAACTTAACATTACATCTCAAGAAACTAGAAAAGCAACAACAACAGAATCCAAAATTTAAAATAAAAGTAGATTAGAGATGAAATAGAGAATAAAAGAACTATACCAAAAAATCAACAAGAGCTTTTTTTTTTGAGAGAGATTTTTGCTATAGGATACATGGACTCACTGGAGAGACAGAGATAAAAAGAAAGAGACAGAAAGCATGAAATCACCTCCCAGGGGGATGGCCACACCACAATCCCTTCTCCATTCTTCTCTTGGGATCTTTGGCATGCATGCACATGCTCCCGGGACTCAAACCGCTGTGGACTACATGGGAGTCCAGCAACATAACTATTATACCATCTGATGATCCCAAAGCTGCTGCTGCTGCTTCTTTATTATTAAGTTTTTTGAAACAATATAAAATTTCAAATCATCAGCTTTAGTAATCAAGAAAAGTTGAGAAAGGAACCAGATAGATAAAATCAGTAACAAAGCTGGTAACATTACAACCGACGTATCGGAAATACAAAGACTATGAGAATCCTAACAAGTGACCACCTGCCAGCAAACTAGAAACCCTAGATGAGATGGAGAAAAATCTGGACACATGCACGTTACCTCGGCTGAGTCAGGATGAAACCTTACAGAAAGACAGAATAGATCGGTAAAAAGTGATGGAACTGAATAGTGATAAATAGTCTCCTAACAAAGAAAAGCCCAGGTCTGGGGCCAACACATGGCATAATAGCTATGTCGCTAGACTCTCATATAGTCGAGTGAGTTCGAGTCCCAGTAACAGTGGCTTGAACTCACGCTGGACACGTGTGCGTGCATGCCCAAGATTCCCAAGAGGAGAATGGAGGAGAAGGGATTGCAGCGTGGCCATCCCCCCAGAGGGTAATTTCTCGCTTTCTGTCTTTCTGTCTCTCTGTCTCTCTCTGTCTTTCGGGTGAGTGCATGTGCCCTATGGCAACAACCTCTCAAAAAGAAAAAAAGAAAAGCCCAGGTCCATATGACTTCACTTCTGAACTCTACGAAACTGTTAAAGAGCTAACTTTAATTCTCCTCACACTGTTGCTAAATACTCAGAAGGAAGGAACTCCCAAACTCATTCCATGAAGCCTCCTTCACCTTGATACCAAAAGCAGACAAGGACATAAGGAAAGATGAAACTACAGACCAATATCCCTGGTGAATATGATGCAAAAATTCTCAACCGGTACCAGCTTACCGAAGCCAGCAGCACATCAAGATCACACGGACTCTGGGGGTAAAAATAAAAAAAAAAAAAAAGATCACACGGACTCTGGGGGTCAGCTGTGTGTTCACGTGTGGGTTGGGTGTGCGATGGGTGTGTGTTTGTGGAGAGAACAGTGAGCATTGGGTGTGTGCGTCGTATTGTCATGGGTGTATCGAGTGTGTGGAGAAGGTGAGTGTGTGGGTTGACGGCCACAGGAGGAGAAACGTAAGTGCGCTGAGTGCTGCGAACTCTCTGGATCAGGGACCAACTGAAAGTCCGAAGAGGGTGGAGGCAGGACTTGGTAGGACTTGGAGGGCGCCAGATTGGACTGTGCCCCTCTTAGATGAGAGGGGTTAGCGTGAGGCAGAAGGATAGGAGGTTGAAAGATCCTCGGTTTTGAGACCGGAAACAAGAAAAACTTCCCTGACCGGGAATCGAACCCGGGCCGCGGCGGTGAGAGCGCCGAATCCTAACCACTAGACCACCAGGGACACGCAAGAAACCTCTCCCGCAGGTGCCTCCTGGACCCGGCTCCTGAGCCGCCTGCCTTCGGTGCTGCCTTCACCTGCTCCTCTACTCTGGCTCCCCCACTCTCGCGGTCCAGCCATCCGCCCCCTCTGGCAGTCCGCAAATCCTAGCAGCTCTCCTCCGGCTGGCAGCGCCCCCAAAACTCCGTGCCCCTCCTCCGCCAACACACACAGTCGCTGGCCTCAGTCTCACCCGAGTCACCCGCCGGCGCCCGGC